GTATGGTGACTGGGACCCCCCCTCATCCCCTGCCCAATGACACCCCGTGTATGGTGACTGGAGATCCCCCCTCATCACCTGCCCAATGACACCCCGTGTATGGTGACTGGAGATCCCCCCCTCATCACCTGCCCAATGACACCCCGTGTATGGTGACTGGAGATTCCCCCCTCATCACCTGCCCAATGACACCCCATGTATGGTGACTGGAGATCTCCCCTCATCCCCTGCCCAATGACAACCCGTGTATGGTGACTGGAGAGGGGAGATTTCCCCATCCACATGTAACCACAAATCCTGGCTGGCCTCCTATCAGGTGACAGCGCATCCCCCAGTGTATCCATTTGGGCCGCCAACTCTCCACTGTCGGCCTCCAGTCCACTCACTTTGAGGCCCATGCGCTTGCGGTCATCGTGTTCCGGTTCAGAGGCCCACCGCAGGAACGTGCAGATGTCTTTAGCCACCTGAGACATGGTGGCCGGGGTCCCTGAGAAGACAAAACACATCCAGACATCAGTGACTACGAGCTGCTCCCCGGAAACTCCCAAGCCATCTCTAAGCCTTTACTTGAAGAGAACCTGTCACAAGTTGGAAGCTTGGTTGCCAATGTTTACACAAAATAACAAACAATACCACGTCAGGGGACTTCATCCAACTACCAACTGCAGGTGCCAAGGAGGATCCTCCTCCTCCCCACAGTGTCAGGCACACAAATCCCGGCGGCACATCGCTGATCTTTTTCCTTTAATTGTAACAAACTACACGGCCATTGCGGCATCTTCACCCAGCCAGACATGACGCCCTCCCCATGCATTTCACTTTCCATAAGGTCTCAGTCATTGGCATGCCGCAGGGAGTAAAGACGTCTGAATGGACCAGTAGTTGTTGTAATCAGAGAGAGAGATTGGCAGCCGGGAATTTTGCCGATCTTCATAGGTGACGCCACAAATCATTGTACAATCTCTATGGTAGGGAGTCCCCGATTGGCCGGTTCGGTGGGACATTGTATTATGGAATGATTGGGAATTGTACGGTGTGTGTGGCCATCCTACGAGAACAGATGGTCATCCTAAGGACTGCAGGCACTTTGTATATCCGTCATCCGTAATCCTCATGTACACGGCTCTGTTACAGTGAATCCCCTCTGTG